TCAGCGACCGCGGCGGCGCACCCCATCGGTCGTAATCCAGGTCCGCGCTTGGAGCCCACGTCTGATTCCAAGTCTCGGCGGCAGTCAGTAGGCTCGACTTCTCACGATGCGCCGCAACCTGTTTGTAGCTCGCATCGAGAAAAGGCTCCAAACGCATTTCTTCTCCATGCCAGGCGGAATTGACACATTGCATCCAATACGGAACCATGTCGAGCATGGAGCGATGTGGAGGAAACTGATGTTCTTGCGCCAGCTGGACCGCGAATTGTTCTCTTGACAGTGCGAGACCTGCCTTCGGGAGCGTTTAAAGGCGTCCACGCGCCGAGTCTTACCGTGAAGGGTGCAGTGCAGGCAAATTGATTTCCCAATTGATTGTGGCGGCCATTCGGGTTGGCGGATCGAGCGGGTGTATTGGTGCGAGTTTTGCGCTGAGATCTCGCTTCCTTGAGCCGCACATGTTCCGGTTGATATTGGTGTTTCATGGCGACATTCAATTTCATCACAGATGCTGCTGGGTTTGAGTGCTGGCAGATAAGGCACCGGTACCCGCTACGGTCTTGGGTGAGATGTAGTTTCTCAAGCGATAAGATCAGAGCCTCTGGAGCAGACCATTCAACTTGCGACCGCAGTGGAGCCTGGCTTGTCTGTTTGGGTTCCGATGTGGCATTGACACGAAGAACGAAAGGGAGTGTGAGGAACAGACCTCAAAGCGATCAACAAATATGGCTACATGCACAGTACCGCCACTGATCAATGATCGGTGATCAAAACTAATCCTCGTCCGCGCCGATGAGCCATCCTATCCCTTTGGAGAGCACACGACTGGCCTGGGCTGAGATCTCGTCCGACTCCCCCCCTCGCCGGCTGCCACTACTAGACCTCTCTCCTTCATGGTTAGGGAATTGTGAACGGCCACGGCCGAATGGGAAATTTGCCGCCACCGTACGGAATGTTCTGCTAGCCAGGGCGGCTGCGTCGGGAGTGTTAAGCAGTGCCGGAGAAGGCATCTGGAAGTCTTGCAGACGCGACCTAAGTGAGACACCAGCATTGGTTGGCCGTTTGGTGATTTTGGTTTTGTTTCCAGGGCCGTTTGAGAGTTGCTCTTCTCGGACCTGGATCGACTCATTCTCCAGACGCCTCCAAGATCCCAGCACATCATGCAATTTGTCCGCCGGGCAGAGCTCAAGCGCAAGACCAAATAGGGTGAGTTTCTTGTCCAGCTCGTCGAATTCCGGATGCCTGGCAAGCTGGAAACATGTGACCCAGCAGACCTCGCTCGCCTCCTGGACCTCGGAACTGTGCAAGTTCGGATGGGCTTCCCGGAGCGAGAATACAGTGTTGACCATCCTCTGGCTGGTCTCGAATGCGCGTGAAAAGTCCTCGGCTTGCAGGGCAGTGTCCGTGAGCATGGCCAGCGTCTTGACTTCCGCAACAGCGTTGTCCCGGAAACCCAGCTTGTGGACCAGTTCTAGGACGACTTCGGTGTGTTTGTAAGCCTCGCTGTTGCTGGAAAGCACATGTGAAACCAAGGACAACCGATCTTTGGTCAATCGGATTTCGATAGGCGCTGATTTGACATTGAATGATGCAAGCCGGGAAGTAGCCTCGATGAATTCCTTCTCCCTCAGAAGTCGGTCTGATGGCGGAGGCACGTCCAGACTATTCTTTGATTACGACCGGAGCAGAAAATGAACAGATAGCGGCTCACCAGTCGTACGCCAGTTTCATATCTCCGAAAGTGTAGTTTCCGGAGCTCGAATTGTCATACAATTCGTGTGAACAGGCCAAACAGATGTCCTCCAAGACTTCATTGCTGAGCGTAAGCTTGTTTTTCGGCGAGTTAAGCAGGTTACGGGCAATGCTGAAATCTGGAACATGTCAGAAAAAGCGTCGAGAAAAGGATGACCTGCTTACTGCCTGTGCTCAGGAGCCCGCTGAGGAAGATCCGCAGGACTTCGTCTTGCGTCAACAGCCCAAATGCACCGTTTAAGCCATTATCGCCCTTGCCAGTTAGCTTGAGCATGTCTTCCAGCAGCCATTCCCAGTCATCCAACGACGTCAACTTGTCATCGGACCCGCCAGCCCTTCTTGCCATTCTGTTAGCCCAGGCGCGCTGTTCTGCCACGTCTGAGCTGCTCTGAAGGAACCATCGCAAGGGTGCAGGAACGCTCCATCGTGACAGGATCTCGCCCGACTCGAGATGGACGTCCAGTATGTCGAGCGCACGTGACAGAGAGGTCAGTGGCAGAGGCTGGAAGAACAGCAGGAGGTCTGACGGTGTGCATTGAGGTCGCGTGGTCGACGGCACAACGAAGGCGCCGAGAGATGCAATCGTCGTGTCGGCGACATCCTCCTCAGCGTCCGCAGCGATATCCCATGCGGGCAAACATTCGAATATTCGATTCATCGTCGTCCACTCGTCAAGACTGCTGCTCCCGTACAAACATGCCAATGCTATGCGGGCCATGTCTTCATCGTTCTGGACAATACGTTGTGCGGTGGGCAGAATCGGTTTCGATGCCTCAAAGATCGTGGCGCAGGTCTCTAGCGGCACACTGAGAATGTGGTCGTATAGGATCCGCGTTCGAATGTGTGGGTCCGGGCGGCCCGAGCGTTCAGCCCTCGACTCCAAAACAAAAAGATATGGCATGACCAAACGCCAGATGTCTCTTGCCAGGGTCTCAGCCGTCGAGTGGGCCAGATATGCACAAAGGACAGCATGCTCGTCCATGGCATGCCACCGGTCCAAAGTCCAATCGTCTTCCTCTTGCCCTTGTGGTGCATCGTAGACCAGCCGGGCCAGCAGACTCAGGTCCTCGCCCATTTCGTCCAGTCCTGGAACTCCCTGCGAGGCGGCATGTTGGACCAAGCTCAGGGCAATGTCAATCATCCCAGTGGAGGATATGACATTGCGGATACGCTCCTGGTACCAGGCGCTCAGAGAATCCACATCCAGAACGGTTTCAGCAGACTCTGCGCTCTCCTGGGCTTCAGCTGCAAGGACGTCCATCTCCAGACCGTTCAGGACTGCATGCACCACCGCATTCTCAACCCAGTCAGCTTCATTCCTCCACGGCATCTTTACAGATACCCTCTCCTGGGGATTTCCGGTTTCAGTGGCGGGGAGAAGGTCGCGGAACAAGGAGGGGTCCACGTGGTCGGGTATACATTGTAAAATCGTCAAACGGTGCGCCCATATGGATGACGTATGTCGCTCAAACAAGCATTTGACTGCAGAGAGCCACTGTCGCGTCGCCAATGTGCAAGCAGAGTGAACAAGCGGATCCAGGAGAAATTGAGGGAGAGTCAACGGCGCGGATTCCTCCACGTCAGTCGGCGATGAAGGCTCTCCCCACGCGTCCTCCCAAGCGTCTTCCTCCCCCTGTTCCTCATTTCCAGCAAGGTTTCCCGGACCCAGTTTGCATATCTCCACATACGTGTTGAGACGGTCGAGGCGGTGGAGCAGAACAATCCGGATGGCACACAGGCGCGCGTCAGCCGGAAGTTGATTGAAGTGGGACGTGAGCGCGTCATCGAAAGGCGTAGATTCGGCATCAACTACAGTCGACGCCTGGGACCGTTGCGCAGCGGAGACCGTCCTCTCAAGGCCGAGGTCGAGTAGTGAACGTTGGATAGTCGTGTCATCAACCACCCGGTCCAGACAAGCGGTGGCAACCCAGAGGTCGTCTTCGAGAGGTTCGAGCGTCCTTTGGATGCAGTCCAAAGTGATTTCCTCGTCCCGCAAGTCAGTCCACTCCTGCGCCAAAACCATCGCAAAATAGCGGAATAAGAGTTCGTGATGTCAAGTATGCGACTGGTGATCGCATCATCAATATTTCCACAGTGACTGCAAGCAGTACTTGTTTCTAGTGCTACCAGTGCTACTGGATCGTCTCAGACCTGCTCGACTTCGGCTGTACCAGCAGCGACCAGCCAGTGGACTCGGTGAATCCCATTCCCTACACACAGCAAAAGAAATGATTAACCTGCCAGCTGAGCACTTCAGGTCCGGCGGACGGCGTAATGTACGACAGATGCCCAAAGAGAAGCAGCACCATCAAAAGAGGGTTTCCTATGAAGAGTGAATCAGGTGTACTAGCACGATACAGATAGACTGACCTCGTCTCGAAGGTACTCGCCCACATCGCTGCATCGATGTCAGACAGGATTCACTCTCGGACAGACGACTCACGCTTGGTGGAAGACAATGATAGACGTTGGGTCTAATTTTCTCGTGTCGACCGTAGCTCGCGCCGTCACACCAAAACCCTGTGCACAGTCATGTGAGCACACGGGAGTCTAACTCTATGCAGAAAACCGCTCACCAATGGCATGTCGTTCATGCTGTACACGACGACTCCCTGATGTTCGGGTGTGTCCTCCGTGATACGACCCAGGTGGGCTTTTAACACATGGTTTCCATACAAAAAGGGCATCTCGCCGTTCGGTTTGATCCAAACCTGGAAGAAGATGAGAAGAACCGCTGCAACGATGGTGGAAACAGATACCTTGAATTTGGCGTACTTGGATATTTGGTCGAGGGCCGTTATATGCAGCTTGAACTTTCCCGATTTACTGAACTTGCCAAAACAAGTGCCGAGCGAGACGAGATTTGGTCGTGCGACGGATATTCCCAGTCGCATAGTCTCCTCCGAAACATAGTACACCTTGTCCTTTTGAAGCCGAAAGCAGTACGCGCCATCCGGTCTATCGATGAGATGAATCAAGTTTTTGCCCTGTGTAACCGTTAAGAGCAATTGCTTGCTCGCAATCTGAGAGAGCATACGATGTAGTTGGCCAACTTCTCAAACACGGCTCGGGACTCCTCCTCCGTCAAGGGACGCATTTTTAATTCGTTTGCAGACGAGTTTAGCGTGAACAGGGAAGGGGTTGCGTAGATTGTATGTGGGTTGAACGCAAAGCAAGATTTATATTCATTGACAGCTGTCAAAGTCGATGACAAATCCATCTTCCCGAGCTCAAACCGATCAGTGGTGGCCATGTTACCAGTTCCGTCCTTCTCATCGTTCCCAGCGCTACCTTCAAATTCCTCCGGCGAAGTCAAGAACAGCGATAACGAGAAAAAGAGCAGAAAAGGGAAACGAAGGAGACGTGATAAAGACCTCGATCTCGACCCCGTACGCGATGATGCGAAACGCGAGCGCGCCGAGGACATCGTGCTTTCTTGGGACTCGACACCCCCGTTGTTCTACTCAGACCGACGAGGAGACCCAAGTAATCTTACGATGGGTCTGAATAGGCGGGAGGTTCCGAAATATCGCGGAGAGAAGGTGGTTTTAGGCGTCACGGGCTCGATGACCGTCTACCGTAGTGGACATGGGATGGAAATCGGTCCTCCAGGGAAACGTAAGGTGCTTCAAGTCCATTCCGGATGTATTCGGAAAGATTCATTGCACTGCAGATGCCTAGTCTCACAGACCCGTCCTCACGCGCTCTGCTGTTTCGTAACCCAGTCCGCAGTTTATTGCATCCAACGCAACCCCCGTCGTCAAGGATCGAGACGCAGGCAGAGGAAGGAATCATTCTACTACCCTCGCGAAAACCGCGCGAAAGATCATACCGTGATATTGAAAACACGCAACCGAACTCGGATGCAGAATCCGCGGCTGACTCGGGAGCATCCGACGCCTCCGACTCCGACGACGGGAGCTTTGAGCACACAGAATATCAGCTAACAACTGTGGCGATAAATCAACGTCTTGGCGCGGAACCAACCTCTGTACCAAATTGGCTGTTGCTACTGTCACACAACTTGTCAACCGTCCCGATTACATCCAAGAACGCGTCCACAGCTCGGGCTGAGATATCCATTTCGATTCTGACTCGAGCACTGGATGCAATCCCGCAGTCTCGCATCCTTTGGCTCAAGTATCTACAAGCGGGCGAAGACATCTGGCATGAGAGTAAATTGCGATATGAGTGGGAAAATGCCTTGAAGAAAGTTGGTGGAGGGGATTTGTGGATGGAATGGATGGAATGTCAGATCCGCAGAGGCAGAGGTGGTATCTCGGCAATCGTGGACGACGTCAAGCGGGCACTGTCTTCTCTTCAAGGGGACGAAATCAGCCAACTTCGTGTATTCTGGCGGCTCGCTGTTGCTCTTCAACAGGCTGGTGAGTATGTAGAAATAGTATATGCATCATTGTGCTGACCGCCTCCAGGGTTTCCTGAGCGAGCTACTGCTATGTTTCAAGCGCAAGCTGAATTGTGAGCCGAATTCTTCCTTCATCTCGTATTGTACATTGATCGACAAGACAGAACATTCCATGTCCCGTCCTCTCTCGGACGATCCTCTTTCCAGCAAAGCCTAGACTCTCTGGAGGAGTTTTGGGAGACCGAAGTTCCTCGTGTCGGGGAGGAAAATGCGCCAGGCTGGGATGCCTGGGTCTCCGCTGGCTCTCCTACAATCCCACCACCGTCTTACCCCACCGTAGCTCAGGTCGACGACCTCGACCCATACCGCAAATTCTGCTTTTCCGAACAGATATCAGACGGTACTCAGTTTATGCCTTGTCGCGCCACAGATGATGCGGCAGATTCTGATCCGTATGCGACTATTCTGTTCTCAGACATCCGGGATGTCTTGCTCTATCTTGTCACACCGACGGCCAAAGACGCGTTTCGTTATGCCTGGCTTTCCCTCCTCGGACTGCATGTACCTGGCTTCGTCGATATAGATCCTGAAGGTGTATCAGATCTTGACGGGCGGTGGTCTCATGTCCCTTTCACCCGAGCGTCCTTTTACGATGCTCTTTTCCGTTTTACAGGGTCCCGCGAGAGCAGAATCACGAATGATGCGGTGGCTGGGACTATCATTGGCCGTGAACGTGAATATAGAGAGGGGCTTGGCGGCCCTGTCATGCTCTGGGGTCGAAATACCGTGCATCCGCTGAAAGTTCCATCTGCCGATGGTCGATCTCGTTCATTGTGGCGAAAGGAGGAACTGAGCGCGCTACCCACGGCATTCATCAGAAACGTCTTTGCGCAACTACGGGATGGTAACTGTGGTTCTGATTGGGACTGGTATGCTTTGGCATTCGAGAATGCCCTCGGTGCAAAAAGGTGTTGTACGTTTTCCATTACAATAGCAACCTCACCGTTGACGGACGTTTGCAGCGCTCTGAAGCTCTCACGAAGTTTCCTGGCGAATTCATCAGATTCAGTGACTCACTGGGCCGCGCATGCCCGGCTCGAACAGTTGCGCGGTCGCCTGCAAGATGCGCGGAAAGTGTATCAGACTGTCCTTTTGGCCAATGCGTCTCCAGGTACCGATCACGGAGCTTTGTGGTGGGACTGGGCTGAAATGGAGTGGCTTGCTGGGGAACCACAAGCCCTGCTGCGGGTTTTGCTGACATGTACTGGTGTCGAGGGCACAAATGGCATAGCTCTGTTGCGTGCTAAACGGTCTTTAGATGATCGGATCCAGACTTCTGATCGCCCAGGTCGGATAGCCTGGATCATGCTACGAACTCTTTTTGAGCTCGCTGCTGGGAATGGTGCTGAGGCTGCCCTCGATGTCTTCGATGTTCAGCTCAAGCTAGTCGATGACAGCTCTCTTGAACGACTGCAGGTCGAGGGGCTCCTGATGCTCTTCCGACACACTGTAGTCCTCCGCCATCCATTGCCCCCCGCTTTGCTGAGAACGAGAGCCGAGGCAGCGGTCAAGGCATACCCCAGCAACTCTATCCTGCTCGGTCTATATCTAGAGGCCCAGAAAGGCCAGGGTGTCTGGGGGAAAGTGCGAGGCTTATTGGGGGAAGAGACTGAGAAAACGGTTGGGAGACGGATTGAGGATGTTTGGATCGCAGCTTGGGACCAAGGCAGATGGGAAAATGAAGTTGAGCGGATGAGGATCGCGCTCATGAGTGCTCTCGAGAATGGATGGTATGGCTCCTCTGGGTTGTGTGTTACTTCGCTGAATCCCATTAGCACAAAACATAGCTGCATTCTGTGGAGACTAGCTACTGAACTCGAGGTTAAGACAGGAAATCTCCCCAGGGCTAAGGCCTTGTTGTTCAGAGCGATCGGAGATTGTCCTTTGGTCAAAGGTGCGATGCGGTCACACAGCGAGGTGATTGTCTGATGTCAGGTTTCAAGACTTGTATCTGCTTGCTTTCGGTCCGTTACGGTCCGTTTTCACGACTCGCGAACTGAACTCGTTCGCCGATTCGATGGCTGAACGTGAAATTCGAACTAGGCGAGGGCTGGATTCATTCGTAGTGGGTTGGAAGGAAAAGGACGCTCAAGAAAACTTGCCAGAGGATGATATTCCAGAGGGTGATGAGATCGAGCGTTCCGCCAACGAATATCGCAGATTGCTCCCGTATTAGCCCATTTTTATTACATACCGCGCAGTTTCATGCTGTGCATTCAGAACCCCGCCTAGCGATTAGCCGATTGCGCATGACTGTAGTACGGACCCACGAGGGGAATGAGGTTCTCATTCCGAACTCTACCCCATCCTACACCTCTGGGCCATCGTCGAACACCTTGCAACGAATGCGCTTGGCTTCGCTTGAATACTCATTCATGTGTTGTGAACGAACCAGTCGGTTCGATCAACACCCTGATTTGGATACCGTAACACAAATAAGAGATGCAAGCGGGGGCATTCTTTCAAAGGTAAGTCCCATTGTACTCAAAAGGACGAAACAAGCTGAGTACTGGCGATTGTGTCGTCGAGTATCTCTCGTGGCATTAGATTGAGAGGCAAACAACATTGTCGTTGCTGGCCAAATATTTGAGTTTGTTTGGTTTACCCTCTCCGTTCCACTGTGACACACGCTGAGCGCACTCAGCAGCTCTCGGCTCCCCAGTCTCTGGCTTGTCTTTTACCTGTCTGCACGAGATCTCTCGCCAGGCAATTCGTTCTCTTTCATTTCCCCTACTGCGCACGGTCGCACGACAACCGCCTCGCGCCGCGCCGCTTCGTACCTCTCTTTCGCCTCTTCCTCACCACACCGCCTATCTACCTACCTATTTTCCACCCTAATATCCGCCACCGATGACCACCATTCCAGCTCCATCCCGCCAAATGGTTCGCGAGGAATGGTCCGATGCTGATTTTGACCTGCGAGACGATCAGCCTCTGCACACAGGAACCGATAGAGACCCCGAAGACGATGAGGATTGGGATGCTGAGATGGATCTCGGAAAGACTGGGCAACAGGCCCTACCATCCGGGATCACATCTGCTCCCCCCTTGTCGCAGGCGTTTATCATTCGACCGTCTCAAAACTCTTCCGAGGGTGACGACGACGAAGATGAAGGCGTCTCCACCATCAAAGTCGCCATCCTGACTAAACCCGCCGTCCCAATCTCAGTTCCACAGTCTTCACAATCCTTCGATGATGACTTCGAAGACGCATTTTCCCTCCCTGCCGATCTGACTCAGTTGTCTTTGGCGCCACTCTCTCTTAGCCACCGGATCTCAAAAACCTCATTGGAATGGGGCGACAAGGACCAAACATCGTCTTCACAGTCCTCGGATGCCTACTCCTCTCTTGGTTTCGCTGATGCATCCCCCTCCTCAAACTCGACTTCCGTGTCTCTTCCAGTAACGGAAGACGACGACGACGACGACGACGAACTCGAGGGGCTTGTTATTCCCTCGGGTATTTTCGAGTCGGGCAAAGGCGCCCGTCAGCTGACCAAGCTTCTGGAGATGAAGAAGCATGCTGAGGTCCCTGATCGCCCAGTCCGGCCATCGCGAGCGCCGGAGGAAGATTTCGAGTCTGGGCTAATCATCGATGACGATCACGAGCTTAGTCCCAGTCGGCTCTTGTCAGCTCAGCAGTCGAAACGTGTTTTGAACACACGAACCAGAAGCCTACCCACCCAACGCCAGCCGTCCTCTCTCCGCCCACCCTCACGCCTAAGGCATGATGGTGCGAAATCGCCTACATTCACGCGGCCGCCTCCTTCTAGAAACCAAACTATATCTCCCACCAGCGCATCCTCCTTCTTGACATCGAAATCCGGTAATCTCCGGGGTCAAAAATCACATTCCGGTTTTTCGAAGCCGGCATCCCCACCTGCGAATCCGCGAAAACTGACCCGGAAAGCCTCGCTCTCATCGCTGATGGAGGCCAGCAACCAAGCGTCAGGCTCCGGTTCTGCCTCTGCTGGGCCGTCACGCGCAGGCTATGAGGAGCCCACCGCTGCTTCACGAGCCAAATCATACAAAAGCCGAGAATTCAAAGTGCCGCCAACAAGACCTACCACTCCATCAAACAATCCAGCCGCGTTGCGGTTGACCATGCCAACTGTCCTGCGCTCGAAATCGCGTCCAACACTGTCCTCTGTGTTCAACGGACCACCCTCAGCATCTGGCCCCCAATCCCCCATGTTCCGATCTATGTCCCCAGTCCCGCCACGGCCATCGTCTGCCCACCTGCCGCCCCGACCGCCTTCCTCACAATCAGCGACCCGACCCTCAGTTACACGTGTGCTGAAGCGGCCAAAGCGACAGCGCGTTTTTGGTGATGGGACGGAGCTCGATGGGTTCGACGATCTGCCTACAGATCGAGACCAGGAAAGCCGCTTCCGGGTGCAACCCAAAGGTTATGGAAACCGGGTCCCAGGGGCATCCTATTCCCCTGCAAAACCCGAGAAAGGCACCATCCGAAGAAAGAGGAGGGAAGGATCCGACACCATGCCTGGTGCGTTCATCGTCGTCAGTCATCCTGTTACTGACTTTTGGGCTCAGATATCAAGCCTCAGGCCCCATCGCCCAAGAAGAGAAAGCAGCCGGCTTCGCCATTACCCGCAGCAAAGAAAAAGCCGACGCTGATTCGAAATTTGAGTGGTGTAGGAGCCTCGCGAGGTGCGCCGCAACCTCAAGTCTTGGGTTGCTTACTGACTTGCCGCAGTTGTTGGCGACATGAAGTGGAATCCCCAGAGCATGCGATGGGAAGGAAACGAACATGTCCTCCGTGACTTTGACGCCGCTGTGGGATCCTCGACAAGGCCAGCTCTCATCACACATCTGACGGGCTCGTCCATTGGATCGCCAGTGGGTTCCTTTGCCAATGGCGCCCGGATTGTGGGTAACATGATGTTTGACCCGTCTCGCATGTGCTGGGTTTCGACACTGCCTCCGGAAGAGGAGGAGCCCGACGTCTTTGCTGATCTGGCCGATGATGAGGACGATGGCGATGCCTGGGAAGAGAAAGGCGCCACCATCCGCGCCAGTGCTGCGCTCGGCACCGATTCGCTTGCTTCGAGCACAAGCACGACGATTGCCCCTTCTTCAGCTTCGTCCAGTCCAGCTCGCAGCGAGCATTCATTCCCGCGATCCGGTCCGGCCTCCGAATCCGATAGCGAACGAGACCGGGGATCTCGAGCTTCGATGGTCGTTTGTGACGTGGATGAGGCCTTCATCGAACGATGTCGAGCAGCCGAGGCTCGGCATCGGCAAGAAATGCGTGGCTGGAATCTCAGCTCTACATTATCAACCCCCAACGATGCGGATCCTTTTGCAGGACAGCGCATCGATCGGCGCCATCTTCACGAAATCCGAGAACTCGCTACAAGAAAGTATAGTTGAAGTCTATTTTCTATGTATGTCATCTCATGCCCACTCATGGTTTCCCTTACATTCATTTTGGTTTGTCTTTGTACATACTCTCATCTCGCATTACAATATTGTAGGTTTGACTACTGCTGCGTTTTCGTTCGTGTAGGCCATCAATATGTAGCTCTCTGCAATCAACAACGGAATTATGCACTAGAAAGCGTCGGCTCTGCCGACAGAATGCCTTGCTACTTGACACAAAGAATGCAATAATTTCAATAAGGACATTAGTCATGACTAACCCCCAGAAGTCCTCGTTCTCTTCTTCTTTCCACCAGAATATTAGTTGGGAGGAAATGTAGTATGACCATTGAAACTCATGCGCACGCAAAGAGCAAATGGTGATCAGAGTGGAACGGAATAAGAGCAAGTCACTGTCTAGTACAGTTGGGAGGGTATCAATTCCACGAGAAGGTGGGAGCATAGCCCGTCACAAACAGCAAAATTGCATGCACAGCAGGCAGTTGCTGCAGTTCTGACATGCGGACGTACGTGACTGCGAAGATTGATCCACTTAGGATGGACTCGATACTGCAGGAAGGTGGTAGCAAAGCCTGTCACGAACATCGAAATGGCATGCTCAGCTAACATGCGAACAGCAAGAGTGATCAGAACGGATCAAAAGACGGATCAGGCGCATCTGATTTGCGTGTGTGAATATAGGGTCTGGAGAGTGCCTTGACAAGCAAGGCAATGATTAGTCAGCAAGCATCCATGTCTCCTCTGACCGTCGCGTACGCGCTCAACCCACCTCAAACACTAGTGGTTCCCGTCTCCCTATCCACATCAAAGACCCATACCTACGAGGTGGCAGGCACAGAGTACTACGCGTCCCTTCGCTCTGCTATCGCGTGCGCTCGCGAAGAAATCGGGGCGGAGCTCACTGCCTGGCGAGATCTGGTCGGCAAAAGCGAGGAATCTAAAGAGAGATCGAAGAAGACCAGGATAACTAAAGACGAGGAAGAGATGGAAGACGATGACGAGGAGGGCGTATAGACAACCATAGGCTCTTATTGGAGTGTGTGTAAACTAATCTAATTGCTACGCGTCGCCTTGCCCCGAGGCCGTTCTTTGATGACCATCTTGTTACTGTTTTTGGGACCCTTGGGTCCGGGTTTACGAGTACGAGTGCCACGAGCTCCCCAACCCCAGATCGACACGGGATGTTTGTTGGACTTGGATTTACCTCGTCCTCCTCCGTGAGGGTGATCGTTGCTGCGCAAATGAGACGGTGCAGAGAAAATACATGGACGAAAGTACTCACGCGTTCATTGCCACACCACGGACAGTCGGCCGCCAGCCCAGCCATCGCGACCGACCCGCCTTTCCCAGACTGCGATTTTTCCACAATGGATTGCTCACGCGACCGATAGTCGCACAGCAGCCTTGCAGAATCTTGCGTACTTCGCCGCTCTGCAGACGAACATGGGTGTATCGTCCGACTTCATCGTGACCCACGACTTGCGCTGAGGAGCCAGCTGAGCGGACGAGGATTCCGGGTCCAGTGGGTACCAGCGCAATGTTGTGAATGACAGTCCCAATGGGGATCAGCCGCAGTTGGAGAACATTTCCTGGCTTCAGCGTCAAGGTACGAAGCAGACCGAGCGCAAGGTTTTGCGACGACGATTCCTCCAACTTTTCCAACGCCGCGGACTCCTCAGCGTCCTTCGCAAGCGACGGCGTGCTTTTCTGCGACTTCGATGTGCGCGCATTGAGCTTGTCCACGTCCAGCCCCGGCACAAATCCATGGGGTATGCCAGCTCTGAAGCTCTGCACTTGGTCCCCGGCGCGAATGCCCTCCGGTGCCACGATGTAGCTCCATTTGCGCACACCCAGCGCGTTTGGATCCCGGTTATGCAATAGGGCTATGTGCGCGCTGCGCCCCGGGTCGTATTCAATTCGGACCACGTCGTGGATGCCCGGCTCTTCACGCTTGAAGTCGAGAGTGCGGATACGTTGCCTGTGTCCTCCGCCGCGGTGTCGCACGGTTATGCGCCCATGCGAGTTGCGGCCACCAGTCTTGCGCTTGGCAACTGTGAGTTGGAGAATAGGTCGGCCCGCCCAGAGGTGAGGATTCAGGGGGCGACGGAGGTGACGAAGACCAGGGGACACGGGCTTGTACGTTTTGAAGATGGCCTCCGTACGTGACATGGTCTCTTCCAGCTCGCGTCTTTTGGCCAGCTTACGCAGAGCATGACGGCTTTCCGCATAACCTCTGGAAAGGTTCAACGGTATTGAAGAGGGAGCACGCGAACCCGAAGCTAGCAAGCCTCGCCGCAGAGAAGAGAGCATCAGGATTTGGGAACAAAATGTTCTACTTACATAAGCTACAATACCCGTGCCCAGGCATCTTTACCCAAGACGCTCTCTAGACCACTCAACATCCTCTTCAACTCCCGCTTCACCTGCTCGGTCTCTTTCCCAGCCACCCGCAATATCGCTCCGTCGTTCTCTGTCTGACTCAACGACCACAAAAGCGTCTCTGGTGTGTTGGTTTTGAGAATGGATATGCGACTGTATTCTTCTTTGAGAGTAGCCACGATTTGACGCGTCTGGGATCCAAAGAGTAACACCGTTGCATAACAAGGATATGGATGCATCTTCTGTGCTAGTGTCCGCTTGGGGAGTTTGTCGCTGGGACGATCTGGTTCGTTTTCTAACACCATGACATCGCGGACAACGCGTTTCCCATCTATCACCACTTCATTGACGCTGCAATATCGAGAGAACACCCATTCCTCTTCGAGCGCCTGCCGCCCGCAGGTGATCCAGTCCACTGCGACCAGGGACGCGTCGTGCGGTAGAGAGAAAGTCTGCGTCTGTGTGTAGGAGGCATCTCTGAAGCAGGTCACTGGATCGGGGAGCAAGAATAGTGAGCCTGACGACTCGATTTGTACCGTCAATGTTTGTGTGGTGTGGGGTACATGGCCGGATGATGTTTTGAGGGTCGCCGCCCTCGTGCCCGGGCGCATTTTGAACACCTTAGTCGATCCCTGGTAATGTCGCGTGAATGGATGCCTCTCTCCCTTATCGCTGTAAACGACCCCCACCTGTGACAGCAACACACCGCGCGCGCCAGCTCCGATCCGGACTTGCAAATTTACGCGATCTCCACTCACCAGTCCACCGCCGTAACTGAGCATGTAGACCAATCCGACGGCGGGAATGTGGGACAGGCGTGGCGATAAGAGTTTGAGGGGATATGTCGAGGACATCTTAGTGAATACAGCTTCCTGCCCGTGAAGGTCGATCTGTATGTGGCCATATCCAGGCTCGAGGGACATGATGGCAGAGAAAGATGAGTTGGAAATGTCTGATGCGCCGCTTTCAGGTCATGTACTTCTGACGATATGGGATTGGCTTAATTAGTTATACACAATGATACAAGATTGCATCGAAAGCGATCTACGGAGTTCAAAACCGAAGTACATCTACCTTCGTCGCAGCCGCGACTGGAGCCGGGCCGTCAACCTCGATCTCAGATGGATCTCTGGGTTCTAGAGGAGGAGGCGCCGACTTCTGACCATTGCGATGCTCATCCAACCATTTATCCATGTCATCAGCGCGATCGAAGGGACGTTTGCCTAATAAATTGAGCATATCCTCGCTGGAAGACTGTCAGAAGGAGAACGGAGAGGTGGCCAGTGTAACCCACCGAGTGATGTTCTCCTTCTCCAAAAGCAGTTGCGCCACCTTGATGACATCCTCCCGATGTTCAGTTAGTAGGTTCCGTGTTCGGTCATAAGCAATCCTGGGTTTCCGATGAGCGAGAGATGAGAGAGAAAGGCAGAGCGCTCACGTTATCATCTTCCGCACTTCAGCGTCGAGCATCTCAGCGGTCTTCTCGCTGAATGGCTTGGTGAATGTGTCGTTCGACCTATGGGCACCGCCGTAGCTGATTGGACCAATGACTTCGTTCATGCCGTAGTTGGCACACGCTTCAAAGGCCATGCGGGTGATCTTCTGCAAATCATCCTGCGCGCCGGAAGTGATGTTTTCCGTTCCAAAGAAGATCTCTTCGGAAACACGGCCTCCCAAAGTCATGCAGATGCGGTCAGTCATCTGAGGGGTCGACATCAGGTAGCGCTCCGCAGGCAGATACTGTAGCAAGCATGAGACTAGGATCATTGGGAGAGGGCAGAAACGCATACCTGCGCGTATCCGAGAGCGCCCGTGCCTCGAGGGATGATGCTGACCTTCAGCAAGGGGTCGGCATGCTCAAGGAACCATCCGCAGACGGCGTGCCCAGCCTCATGGTAGGCCACCGTCTTCTTCTCCTCAGGACTAAGCACACGGCTCTTGCGCTCCAACCCGACGATAACGCGTTCGATAGCCGTGTCGAAGTCCACAGACTCGACGTACTCGGACCCTTTCCGCGCAGCATGCAGAGCAGCCTCGTTACAGACATTGGCGATGTCTGCTCCAGAGAAACCCGGCGTCAGAACAGCAAGTTTCTGCGCAAAGCCATCCTTGTCTGAGAGGGCCTCGTGCAAGCGCAAGGGGCGAAGGTGCACCATGTAGATACCCTTACGGCCCGAGACATCCGGTCTGTCGATGGCGATATGTCTGTCGAAACGACCGGGTCGCAGTAGTGCCGGGTCGAGGATATCCGGTCGATTAGTTCCAGCGAGAACAACTACGTGCTCCTGAGTTCCGAAGCCATCCATCTCCACAAGCAGCTGATTCAGCGTCGACTCTCGCTCGTCGTTGCCACCGAAATTGCCACCTTTGGAACGAGACTTGCCGATAGCGTCGATTTCATCTACGAAGATGATGCAAGGGGCATGTTTCTTAGCATCGGCGAAGAGGTCTCGTACACGGGATGAACCGACACCGACGAACATCTCGACGAACTCGGATCCGGAGACGGACAGGAACGGAACGGACGCCTCACCCGCAGTTGCCTTTGCGAGGAGCGTTTTTCCTGTTCCCGGAGGACCAGACAGAATGGCGCCACGCGGGATCTTGGCACCCAATTTCTCGTACTTGGCGGGCTCCTTCAAGAACTTGACAAACTCCATGATCTCCTCTTTGGCCTCGTCCATTCCGGCAACGTCCCTGAACTTGACATTGACGTCGGTGTCCTTGTTGTAGAGCTTGGCCCGGCTTTTTCCAATGCTGAAGATGCCTCCACCGCTGCTTCCGCTACCCCGACGCGAGAGCCATACAAGGAAACCAATCGTGAGGATAGTCGGGGCGAAGTCAAAGGCTGCTTGCCACGCCGAGATTTCGTCGTGGTAAGCGACCGGGATACGTTCGTGACTCGGAATCCCCAATTCGGCTTGGGCCTCGTCCAGCCTTCGCTCGAAAGCCTCTATGCTTCCGATCGAGAAAAAGTAGTCTGCCGCGCCGAAATTGGCATTGGTCGGGTACATGGTCCCTGTCGCATTGGAATGGAGCTTGACCCGGACCTTGTGCCCATTGACGACGACCAGCTTGTCCACCAATCCTTTCTCTAAAAATGCCGCACGGAATTCCTGCCAGGTGATTTCGCGGGACGAGGATGAGTTAGAGCTCGAATAGATGAAGTAGGCGATAGAAGCGCTGGCTAGCCATGCGAGCTGGGTGTTGGAAAAATTGAAGTTGTTATTAGGGGGAGGAGGGGGAGGGGGAGAACGAGAGTTTCGGTTCTTCGAATCTGGATTGGAAGAATTGCCTTTGGATGATGGTGAAGGCCGCTGCTGCTTGAAGAAACCCTCGAGGTCTTTCGGCAAGTCCTGCTCCTGCTCCTCCTTCGGCTCCGTGCGTTCGTTCTTGGGCGGAGTGGAACGATGCTGGGACGAATATGAAGCGGTGAGCCTTATAGGTCTGCGAACAGCGCGCGCTGCCCTGAGTGACCGAGAAAGCATGCAAGATGAGGGATGAAGCAAGATGAAATTGACGCGTATGTTGGCTGACTGATGGCCGACATGGGCCGAAATCGTGACAAATGTAGCACACACGCAAGTACATCGGGGGGATCGTAAAGAAGATGAGCTCAGCGGTCAGGTGTCATGGATCTGGCTCGTCGACCTCGAAAGCACAACAGAACACTTCTTTATCTAGCAGTACCACACCCTTTCCGTCCAGAGTCCATCTCAAATCGCGAGTCTCGAAGCTCTCTATTAACAGAATGTGAAAAGACCTCCCAGCCCGATAGATGAAAGACGCACTGGCGGGGACCCCTATGCACTCTGCCATCTCTTCCTCCCCGTGTTGGCCCTGCCACTCATCGCTCCAGGAATAAAGACTGCGACTACCACAGCACAAGACCAGATTCCCTTTCCTCGCGGGATTCCACCGCGCATGTGCGACGGGTCTAGTGTGGATAAGCACCGACCGTAATCTTGGAGTACCCGACGCCGGAAAATCGAATAAATGGACAACAGTAGGCGAACTTTCTGCAAAATAGTCAGTTCCAACAAATTTGTGCGCAAGGATGTGAATCGACCGAAGCGGACGAGCAAAAGTGTCCCGCTTGCATTCCATTCCATTTGCACAGTGCCGCTCTTAGGATTGGGCTTTGTGGCATCGGGTTTCTGAACGACGATGGAGTGAGAGCCAGTCAAACGTTCGTCTGTAATGTTGATTAGCACAGGTGTCTGGGTGCAATGATGAAGGCTTCTGCACAGGACAAGAATCCCCGTCCCTCTGTTGCTTCTTGCCACCTAGATGGTTCTCGCCAGATAGTCTGCCTCTCCATCAGCACTCATCTCAGAGAATCTCGTGTCCCATACAACACCAGCAGGCACTCTGGACAAGAGTTCAAAAGTCACTGCAGCAGTCCAAGTGAGGTCCAAGATGTGAATCTGTGTGAGATCAGTCAAGAACGTCCAAGCACTAAGACGAATTGGCTAGCCTTGTCGTCCCAGCCGCTGACTGCAAGAAACATGCCACTCGGGTGCCAGGCAACCCGGCGAATCCCCAATCCAGGATCGGGCTCTGGGCAAAACGTGCCCAGCACAGATCCTGTCAACGACAAAACGCACAGCTTGTACTTCAAGGTCGTCAGAATATGTTCGATCTCAGAATTGATAAGAAGAACTCGCCTCCGTTGGACCTTCCCAGACGGCGAGATGGTCCCCCTTAGGAGACAATGCTAGCGCCGCCAGTGAGGACGTCGGCGACGGGAAATGCTGCACAAGACTCAATGCATACCTGGTGGAAGGTAGACAGATCGGACTAACGCGGACGAGCTTATACTCCTGCTCTGTATCATAGACGCCTATCGTGTCTCTTGATTTGTGCCTCTCCGCCAGCACGAAGTATCGACCATCAGCTCTGAACGCGTAGCCCGTGTCTGGATGGAGCGGGAATTGGATGTATATTGCGGTCCCCGACACTAAGGACCACACAGTCACTCTGAGCTAGAGACGAACATCACAACTCCTGTCGCGCGGAGTCAATGCGAACTCACCCCCCATTGAGAGAAGCACAGCACCGTGCGGCCATCGGGAGCCCATTGTGCCTTGACAAGGCCTCCATGCTGTTCTCAATGCCGTCCACTGTGCCGTCCTATAAATATCTGCGCACCTTCAGCACCGCATTCGATCCGCGCCGACCACTCAGGATCTTGTACTTTGAAGATCTGAACGGCTCCCAGTTTCGCGGAAGCCGCCAGCACGTATTCAGAATCACACGACCATCCGATGTGAGATATGAGGTGCTCCTGTGAGCTGTTCTTTGGCCTGACTGCAGCGGTCAGGAGGTGGGTTGGAGTTGGGGACGCGTCGATCCGCCATGTTCGCATGATCTGGAAAGTGTCCGCGCGTCGGAGTACGAGTCGATCATGGACAGCGGTAAGTATGAGGTGGGATCCATGACTGAAAGACACGTTGGCGCCAGAGTGTTTGTACACTTCAGTGAAATCCATTGAGGAAACGGTGCGAGCTATCGGACGTCGGATGCAATGGCAGAGGCGCGTAGGGCGCGTGACACCGTGCATGACATGACCTCAGTGACATTCTTCGTATGACTGATTTTCCCAGACTTTTGTCTAAGCGTCATGGTTGAGCATGTTGGCTGTCATGATCTATACGAGGCCCAGCCGCCGGATAAAGCTTGCCCGAATTTGTCATGGAAAGTTCGGGCGCGGAATCCACCATGCAGCCCACAGCAGAGGATTACCTAGAGCAACCCGGCTCGGACGAGAAACCCGACTACGATCCTTATCTGATAGATTCTTTCGAAGAGGGAGACCTGCGAATCCACAGGTATTTATGCCACACCGTTGGAATGTTATTCGTCGAATTTAACGCCTCGATCAAGAACTGGAGCAAGCTGCAGCGATGGTGCGCGGAACTGCTCTACGTCAGCTCTATCTGACAGTCCCGGTGGCATGCACAGGTATCTTACCGTCTTCTCAGGCCTCTTGGTACTGAATGCGTGAGCTGATTCACATCTGTGTGTGCTGTTGCTCAAGATTTACTTGCAGAACATTCGCGAGCGCTGCGCGTCAGTCCAATCCTTTCCTGCGGCTAGCTATCATTCATGGGATCATGTCAGCTTCTGGAATCGCCCCTCTGTTGGCAGAGCATTACCATCTCTCGGCAGAGGGGACGACTTTGGCCCTCTCTCTTTTCATCGTCAGACTCCGCCGCATCTGTGATGACTGCGTCTCCCTGACATGCTGCTAGACTGGTTATATCGTGGGGCCTATGCTCTGGGGACCTTTAAGTGAACACTGGGAAGGCGGCCTATTGCGATCTATCCATTTATTATATATACGGCACGTTCCGAGTCAGTGCCCCGGGATGATCTTACTCAAAGCGTGCCTGCAGATCTTTCAAGTGGCTGCGGCCTTGGCGAACAACGCAGCCTCACTTCTGATCTTCCGTTTTATCGGCGGGATGTTTGCTGCCGCTCCTCTCACCAATTCGGGGTGATGCGCTTTCCTCAGCCAGATCGATCGCCGCTGAACGTGAGTGTTCAGTGCCATCATTGCCGATGTGTGGGATGCCAGCACACGAGGTTCATATCCATCGTTTACGCGCCGTCGACGTGCTCACCAGTATGTGCAGGCAAGGCATTAGCTCTTTTTACCCTAGCGCCCTTTGCTGGCAAGTTCTTTTTCACTGAGTGGTATGGTCCGTAACCGGACTCAGGCCCCGCTGTCGGCCCCAACCGTAGAGGATTCATCGCCGTGAACGGTTTGTCCTCCCACGATCATCAGCTGCGCATCCGCTGACTCTATAGGCACAGACTTTCACTGGATCTTTTGGGTGCGTGTGAGACGCTTAGAACGAGCGTCACAACGGCTGACATCGACACGTAGATCCAAGCTATCTTTGTATGGGCTACCTCTGCGAGCATCCGCCGGAACTCCCTCACGAATTTCTAGGCAGCTGTTTGCACTATCCTGGCATTTTTACCGTCCCGGAAACATATGTGTAAGGGCAATTTGGCTGCGATTGATTCGTCGT